AGCAGAGAAATCAGGAATCATGATGTCATGAAAGATCAACAAATACCAGCATCAGTGCAGAGAGCAATTTTCAAACCACTGAACCACAAATGGGTGCCACTCTTCCAAAGCCATTTTTTTTTTTGCCAAATTCAAAAGTAATTTTTATTAATTTGTTTTGGCAAATTTCCGCAATAGACAACAGACTGCCTCTACCTGCCTGGTACTGTCAGACCAGGTTTGACTTTTCTGAGCAATGACAGGAGGGCTGCTTTATTATAGAGGTGAATGTTCATTCAGATTTAACAACTATAAGTTACATAGTGTGAACTATATATATTTAAAAAAAAAAGAGTTGTTCCAAAACTGCATTTTAAAAGTTAAACTTTCCTTAAACCTCGTTTTATATATCATAAAATGTTTTCTTTGTTTAACAGCCTACATATTCTGACATTAGTGGGAAATTATAAATATTTTAACAGGAAATTGTTATTAATAAGCTATAAAACATGTGTAACGAGAGAGAAAATCGGAAAATGAGGAGTCATGTGAGGAAGGAGCAATATTTCCACTTCTGTTAGGCCTAGGAAACCCCTTCCATCATTCAAAGTGCTCTCTCTTCATATTGTTTATTCCCAATCAAAGACGAGACTTGTAGAATTATGTCAACTGTTAACGATTAAAGGTATAGCGGATTACATCCATCTAATATATAAAATGTAATTCCACACAATTTAAAAGCATGTCTTACCTTTGCTCCATAACGCTGGACTTCAAAAAAGTCCAAAGTTCAACTGTCCACTTATCTTTTCTTACGCTAACCGCAGACCTGTAACGTTACAAAATGGCGATGAAACGTCTTCTGAGTGGAGCAGAAACGGTGACGTCTGAATAACCGAGTGAGAGAAATACTAGAAGTTTAAAGTGTTGCGAGCAGAGCGCCGCAGACTTTTCTCGTTCTGTCCGTCTCCACACAAAGCTCCGCTCCAGCGTGCTGCTTTCCAGCCCCACACGTGCTGCCTTAAAGTGCTCCCGGAAATATGGAAATTACCGGCTCTTTCTAAGCTCCCACATCCAAGCTCAGAGGTTGCTGCATTTTAGTGCTACTATCCAGATATAATTACTAAATGTGTTACGTAACAAAACAGCCATGTTAGATGAAGCCGAGCTACTTGGTGAGTCAGTATAACAAGAACAATGGCTTTAAGAATGTTACCGATGGTTTTGTATATACAAATCACTATTGGCCATCAGTTGCTCTCATAGCGTTCTCACTCTCTTCCCTTAAGCACACCAAACCTTTGCCTCCCAGTCATTTTCACATTGCTGATTGTCACATGTGCTCGATTCTAATGTTACGGACAGCATCTGAAGGCAGCACGGGAGTCAGGCAGCCAAGAGGTGAGCTGGTGGTTTACACAGTGGAAAATACTCACTGCACACATGCTCCCTGATTTTATTCTCTGTCAAACCTTCCATATTGAATAACTGCTTAATTTGTAAATACATACTTATGTGAATATACTAAGTGTATAATTTTAGGCCTGTAGTCAAGGTTCAAATAGCGTTGTTACAAACCCTTGAGACTGAATCAGGTTGAGTTGAGAAACTAAGTTGTTTCAATATTTCCTATTATTTATTATTATTATTATTATTATTCTCCTTTATTTTCTTCCCCTCTCCCAGACCTAATCTCCCATACGTTGCCAGGTTTACAGCTGCAACATCCCCAAAGATGGACAAAGTTTAACACATTCAAAAAACTCACGGAGCTCCAACTGGTCTGGTTTCAGGTGGGTAGACAGACCATCAAACTCTTGTACACTGCCGACTGTCAGAATAATTCAGTCTGACGTAAACTTGAAGATGGCCTTGCCTTGACTTTAAATCAGCTCTCCCCTCTGAGGGGCCCCTGGCCTCCCTGAAAGCATTATCTTATTAATTCCTTAACTAGCTTAGACCCTAAGCAGACATGGTGAGTCAAAATAAAGTCCAACTAATTTGTTGTTGGTCCAGAATCACAAGACTGCAGTCAGACTTTTCCACTGCATGCCATGCATTTGTGTAAGTTCAACAAAGACAAACATTTCTTTGGGCTGATCCTCAACTTTCTTTTTGCATTTAGGTTCTGATATTTTCCATCTTCAGTGGTGGAAAGCAACTAAGTACACTTTTACTCTAGCACTTTACTTTGGAGTATGGGGTATTTCAATTTTATTTATATTTTATTTCCTCAATTTAACTACAATTCAGAGGGAAATATTGTATTTTTTATTCCACTACATTTATTTGATATCGATAATACTAGCTGCTTTTCAGATTAAGATGGTGAGCGGATAAAACAAACCATGTTGGGTTGTTTTCGGCTTGTGACCCTTTTTGGCAGTGTGTAGTTTAGGCTCCTTGTCATTTTCATATGCATCTGGGTTGTTAGCAGTTCCACCAAAGAGACATTCCCCCTCTTAACTAGTCAGATGGTTTCATTTGAATAGTTGTTTGAGGCCCAAAGAAAAAAAAATCTGATATTTTACTTAAAAACAAAGATTCAAAGCCAAATAACAAAATTCTGTAATAGAACTTGTGACCCTTTGGAGGGGCCTGACCCCAAGGTGGGTAACCTCTGGGGAAAATCTCTGAGAAAGTCAAACTAAGTTCAGCTCAAACAAGTTCTGTGCAGCACGAATCACAGTCATATTGTATGTCTCCTGTACGCTATCACTAACAGACCAAAAATACTTGAAATGGTAACTTCCGAACATACAGAGGGAACCAGTTTTCTCTGGACAAATCATGTGGAGGAGCTGTAACAGGCATGATGCTAAATAAAAAAGATACAGTTTAGAGTTTAATTCATTTGTCCACTTTGAATACTGCTTTTTACTTTAATATGTCAGTCACGATACCTTTAAAATAAAATCCCATGAATTCAACATTTGTGGCGCTGAAGAATATTAGCAAAGTGCTGAAAAACACCACTCACCTAAACAGGAAGTAGTGTGCTGCTGCCCTGATGTCATATCGCATATAACAGGACGAGATGATTAAGTATCATACAGCTGCTATTTTGCATGGATCTGAATGGCTTATTTCATTCCTGGGATGTGGGAAAAACGGGGCAGCTGCATGCCAAGTTCGATGTACAGGAGCAGAACAGCATGCTGTCCGCAACATAAACATGGCTGTAAATTAGAATTCCTACCTGCTGGTTAAATGCCTATGTAAGCTTTAAAGCTTTGCAACAACACAGTACATAATCATTTGTTTTTGTAATGACACCAACGCGACGATCACAATAATGATGCAATACAACTCTGTAATGCAACTACAGATGTTCACGTATCGCTGAAGTCTACTGAAGAAAGCAGAGATGTGAAAATCATCTTTCTGCTTTACACACTCACTTTTACAGTTTACAACACAGCCTGAGCTGTTAGTATGTAATCAAAAGCAGCCTCCTCCAAACAAAGGTGTGGTCTACAGGACAACAACACTGAAGCTACAGAGCAACACGTTACATGGGGGACATTGCATAGTTTCACAGCCTAGTACTGGATCACCAGGAAATGATCTGAGATCCTCTGGAACAGGAGGACAAACCTTAGTCTGTCTCACACATTCTCTCCCCATTTCCCTTCCTCTCTCCTTCACATAACCAGCTGTCTTGGCTCATGTATGCTCACAGCTGCCCAAATCACTGGTCCCCAGACATGACCAAGGCCTACACTGAAGAGGGGAATGGGGGCTCTACATCTGGGTCAGTAACTGGTTGGTCTTTTGGGCTGTCTGGGGAGGAAAGAAGCTCCGTCATTATTTACCCAAAGCTCACTTTTCTTCACATTGATGTCAACAAAAGAGCCTTTAACTGAAGAGAGCAGTCTCTGTTCTTCACTGCAACACAAGCACATGGACTCAAGGACTAATAACTCCTGGGTTCTATGTCTCGATTTTAACTGGAGCAAGGCAGCATGTTAACAATTTCCATGGTTTTACTGGGGAACAGCAAAGGTTAGTGGTGAGCAAAGTGGATCTAGGCAGAGCAAGCATATTTTTCCAATACTGTGTGGCTCCCTGCAGGAATGTGCTCTTTCAGTCACCATGGAGAGGGAGACAGAGATTCTTACTGTTGCAGGACAAAGCTTAACGCTCAATGGATGGGTTTACAGGCCCCCTCATTGTAAAAGGATTAAATAAATCAAGGCCAGTCGAGACCTAGCACCACGGCATCCCTGCCGTGGCCTTTCAGCTTCGACCAAACAGAAACACACAAACACAGCTGGCCCCCGTCCAGACACAGGGTACATTCAGCAGCATTGAGAACTGCTGTAGTAACCTGGCTCACCCCTGAACTCATTTGCATACACCTTGAGGGGCGAAAACAGTAAAAGAACAGGGGGTGGAGGGATCCCATTGTTCTCTTTTGAGAGCAACATTTGAAAAGTGGGGTTGTATTGTTACACCACTACATCTAATCCCAAAACGTTATTCCTTTTACATACAGATTCTGTGAAAAATTTACATTCATTCTCAGAAAACCTGAAACACATCCAAAATACAGCAGGATGATAAGAAGAATCTCACATTGCAGAAGGAATCTGCAGGAATTTAAGTAACAAACTTAAAGGCAAATATGACCATTTATTTTATGAGCATATAGCAATTTAATTGTAAGAAAGTTCACACAAACACACACACACTGGAAAAGACACCACATTACTGTGCTATATATGCTCTACTATTACTGCACAACCAGATGTGTCTAAAGGCTAGAGATAATGGACAAGTGTGTTAAAGGTCACAGACAGGATAGTTTATTACATTGTGAAAGGGTTTCCTCTGGTAATGCAACACCAAAAACATTTTCCTGTGTGAAGATTGAAGCTAAATCCCCAGTTTGAAGCGATTGTGACAGGTAAACAGAGTAGTGGTATTAGAGTCACACTGCGCAAACACATCACTCGGGTTGTGGAGTTAGGTTTTGGTTAGGGGATGGCGGTGCGGCACACCAAAGGATTTTTGTCTACCTGAACTTAGGCTGTAGTGGTTTAGCGGGTCGGCCACCCATGCACTGTCCTGTATTACACTCTCCATCTCCAAGTCTGCATGCAGCCCGATGGACAGATGGACCAACAGAGAGATGGATGGATGGATGGATGATGGAGAGATGAGAGAGTCAGCAGAGGGAGAGAAGCACTTCAAGTTAGAGAACAGAGCAACTGTGTACTTTGGGAGTGTGAGGTCAGTAGTTTTGCATAGAAATGATACTTTGATGGTAAAGCAATAAACTGTTTTGTCAGACAGATAAAAAGTTTAATAATGAATTCAAATAAAGAAACTTTGTATTCATCAATAAAACAAGTCTTATATGAGAGAACTGAAATTCAACTTTAAAATTATAATCCTTAATAATTTCATGAAGTCAAATTTAGTTTTTGATAGTATTAAGGGTTGGCATTTATTAAGCGATTCAGTTAGTGTATTTACATTCTGTAATTACACTTTTTATTGTAGGTAAGATTCAATTTGCGTGAGCTGTATTTAGTTACCGCTAAAGCTAACCCACCATTTCCTGCTGCTGCTAGTTCCCATTAAAATTATTCAACTGGTGAAACACGTGTTGGCTTTTATTGTCAAGCAGTCACAAAAGTCAAAAGAGTCAAAATGCATCTACAAAACAAGACAATAGTCATTTAAAAAAATATATATATTTAAGGGGCTAATGGAACAGCCTGGACTGTTAGATAAAGAGCTGCACATTTCCAACTTCTCAGTTAGGTAACCAATTCTATTTACCATTTCCTGATGTTGTGGGGAAAACTTACTCGAACTGTGTGCAGCATGAAAGCCATGGAGGTTACTCACAACATGATGGAAAAAGCCAATATTGACTGAATTCTTTGTTAAAACCATGTAAGTTTGTTTGGCTGTGTGTAAACAGATACACCAGTTTACACATCTGTTGTATTACTGACAAATTAACTGCTCAAGAAGTGTTTCCTGCCCCCAGAGTCGTGGAACATGAACTATCAAACAGCATTTGCTGGTATTAGCTGTGACCATGGCCACTGTCAAATTAACCAGGACTGAAATCGTAAGGATTATAACTTTAACCACATCTAAACTCTAATGAACAAAATGCCATACAAGTCCAAATGTGCAAATGCATTTTGTGTGTGAGCAGGTTAAGGTGGAGTGAGTGGGCAGGTGGATGAAGTGTGTATACCAACACGCACAGGGAGGGAAGAGACTCCAAGAAGCAGGCTGCAGGCCAGAGCAGGGGGAGGCTGAGGCAGAGGAGTCACAGTCAAATGCAACAAATCAAGACACATGCTAATAGTAATGCACAGCTGTGCTGTGAGACATCAACAGCATTAATGATGCAGTGGAGAACAAGCAGTGCAGTTTTTACACATAAACAGGCAGCTTAAACGCAATTACATTTAGTTATTTGTTCTGCCACTGATAATGAGCTTGATCCAGGATCTGCTCCTTTAGAGTCATGTTAATATGACAACAGGGCATTTGCAGGTTTTAGAAAACCAAATATTAGACTTTACTTATTACTATGTAGTATCTATAGTACTATATAGATCTATAGTAATATAGACCAAGATTCAAGAAAATCTTCTAACTTTATTCAGGATATCTAAATCACATACTTGACATGTGGATACTCTGTAAAGGAAAAAATGCATGACTGACAAATAAGGACCCATGCATAAAACAAACAAAACAGCAACAAGCAGTAAAACATTGCTCACATGTAGCTGTGAGGGGAATGGGCAGACAGATTAAGTCATGAACTGTAGAGTGTGCTGTGCGTGCACTGCAAAGTTAACTCTCCACCGCAATGTGCACTTCTGATCAGTCACAAGGTCAAAGGCTCAAAAACGTGGGTTTGGAACTTGATTGGCACATCAGAAAACATTGGCGTCCAGCACCCGAAAGCCTGCGCCTGTAATTATATCCCCTCCCTCACAATTATGGATCGTATAAGATTGGTGTTTTGCTTTTTTGCTGTGTCATCCGTTAATCCAGACCCCGGAGTCTCAGAGGCTTTTCGATGGTTAGGAACCCCGGCTCCACTCGCCCATCCCAAAAGCCAGCCAGATGGTTGTGAATGTGAGTCATATTGGTTGAATGAGTCGTTGGATTTGGAAGATGTGACGTGGACTCGTACGAGACATTGAGGTCTGATCAAAAGGGCTCAGTCATATCAACAAAATGTGAGCTGCTATTTCTGTTGGGTGCTTCAGTGTGTGAAGAAGTGAGGGCAAAGTTCAAGTTAAGTTCAACTATGAATGGCAGGCACCAACCGGTGTTAAGTGTTCTCTTTGACTGCAATAGGGTTATACATTTGTCTCTGACACTCTCAGGAGCGTGCTAAAGAGCTTATCTATTTGCTCTGGACAGCAATAGATTAGCAAAATATTTGCTTTGGATTTGTATAGCTGAATCATATAACATGATTAGCGGGCTATGTAAGGAGATGACGTGTCAGAATGATGAGTTTCCTTTCACTGCAACATGATCAAAGGGAGGTTATATTATTTTTATACTGATGATTATTCTACTTCAGTTCTATGAAACATGTGAAGACCTCTAACAAAGCTCTGTATATTCATCTTCATTGGCAGGCAATATCTACACCTCCACTGCATTTCAGTCATTAAAAATAAAATATACAAAAAATAGTAAAGATATTAAATACTTATAATCCACAATAGAGCTCTTGTTGTTTAAACTAAATCAATTCCATGGCATACCAAGTCTGTCAGACCAGCAATAATATGTGGGGCAAGGTGTGACGCGCGCACACACACACACACACACACACACACACACACACACACACACACACCACACACACACACACCAAGCCACAACATACCCACGACCTAACCACTTCCTGAAAATGTAGTCATATCAGTGAGACATTAACTGCCATCAGTGAAGGGTTTAAAAGGAGGAGGAGGAGGAGGAGGAGGAGTACCTGGTTTTGGTACCGTGTTGGTCATGGACTGCGGCACTTTATCATTTATGAGTTCCACACACTCGCTGGGAAAGAAGCCGACCTGGAGAGAGCACAGCAATGAGACAGGCAGGGTGAGGTGGGAGGAAGTCCAATCAGATTTAGATAAAATAATGCAGACAGAGAGAGACAACACAGTATCTATACTGAGGTGTGGTTGTCACATTAATGAAATGGGTCTGGCATTAGAAGCACTGTGACACACGTGGCATTTTGGACTTGGTTTGGACATCTATTGATCAGGTGATGGGAAATGACCACATCGCACATAAGGTACATATAAAGAGTATCTGTGTACCTGCTGCTCTCGTGAACTCTGGGACAACTTTTAAAGAGTGATTAAAAACCTGAACTTAAACTTTACATTGTCTAAAACTGCCAGATGCAGTCCAAGTGGCAAATGGCACAAACCCACACAACTTGTAACATCACTGACTGGCTGACTGACTACCCCCTAAAGGATACAGGTAGTACTTCAGGTGTTGCTCAGTAAGTTCCCCAACAAGTCCTGTTTGAGTTTCAGTCAGCCATTAGTATCCATCTAGTGTGAATATATAGTACACATATGTACACACACTCAACACACTGCAAACTGCATGATATTATCCTGCAGAATACCTATTCAACCTCTGTGACTATGTGTCCTCCTTTTATTTGCACAGTTCTCTCTTAAATGCATTTACATTGAGAGGGAAAAGGCGCACCTTGTCAATACTTCCTAAAATGACAAACTAACTGTGACTCCAGCCTGCTGTGCCAGTTTGTTAAATCCTCTTGTGAGAATGAGAAAAATGTGAAGAAAAGGACACTGGAAGCAACTGGTTGTGGTTCTTGGAGGGGGGGGGGGGCTTCATAAAAGCTGTTTGATTGCCTAAAAAATATACAAGCCATATAGTAACATGATTCACCTGTGTTTTAAGACTGATAATTGTTGACTGCTTAGCTCAGATTGCAAAAGTACAAGTTAAAGTAAGAAAGATGTTTTGTTTGATATACTGTTTTATATTTTAATGTGTCTCTGCAGTCTCTTGTGCGCTGACCTTTGCTTGGCCTCCGGAGACCAATCAGATTTCAGAATAGACAGTGATTTCCAGAAAAAATAAGAAGCGAAAGTCTGCTCTTGCTGGCCTCTCGACTCTTTAGATAAATAAAAAAAGATCTCCCTGAAGACACGTGTGTGTATCTCGCTCACATGCAGGGTGGCGTGATTTTCGAGGGGCCTTTTATTGTGGCCAGTCTAAGGCACACCTGTGCAATCCCCATGCTGTCTGATCAGCATCTTGATATGCCACACCTGTGAGGTGGATGGATAATCTCGGCAAAGGAGAAGTGCTCACTGACACAGATTTTGACAGATTTGTGAACAAGATTTGAGAGAAATAGGCCTTTTTTGTACATGGAGAAAGAATCTTAGATCTTTGAGTTCAGCTCATGATGAATGCGCGCAAAAACAAAAGCGTTTAGTATATTTTATATGTATCCTCTGATGATGTCTGAATGATTGTTTTGATCAGCAAAAAAGGCAATATTTGCTAATTTTATATCAACAGTTGTGAAGAGACAAGCATCTTCATTTTGTGACTATAGGAGCAGGGGAGGCCTTTCTCTTGTTTGAAGTCAGAAAGAGATGAGGAGAAAAAATGCAGTCCTCTACATTTGCAGCTCTTCATTTGATTGGAGCCGGTCCGGTGATATAGTAGTGTGGCGCAAACGCAGGGGCTCCAGCAAAAAAGTTAAAAGGGAGTAAACTTCTGCTGCTACGCAGCACGACATTATCACACGCTGTGTTGACCAATCACAGATGCAAGAGCACATTCGCACTAGTATCCTTTGTGACATGAAAAGTGTTTTTCTCGCTACTGACAAATAGTTACAGCTGTCAGTTTTAGAAACAGTTACAGTGTTTTGGTGTCTGACAATTCTTTAAATGCATTAATCTGTTACTCCTACTGGACTTCCTGGATTGTATTTGATTGTCTCAACGCTACCTTGAACAACATAACCCTACCAATGCAATGCTGTGTTGTTTTAACTGCTTTCTGTTTGCTTAGTGTTTTGTACATTTGTCTTGGTGTAGCCTATGCACACACGCATAGTGAGGACATACTGTCTTGCTCCTTTATTATTAATCTCCATTTCAAAATGAATGCTGTTTGGTTAATGTAGTTTTCTGATAGCCTCTGAAAAAATTATGCTCAAAAATCAAATTATGTGTTATTCATTATTTGAATTTACATATTCCCTCTTCATGTCAGTAAGAGGCAAAATTGAGAGTACTGTGAGCAGATAAAACGCTTAGACCACATAGTGGTGCTGACAGCTGAAACTGGGAGAACTAGATATGGTCGCCTGTAACAAATGTCCTGAACAGCACAGATTCAGTGTATTACAAGATTGCACTACAGACAGCGTAGGAATATGAATAAGTTCAGCATTACAGGGTGAGGTACACACCCTGTAATCTGCTCAAAAGCTTCACAATAGAGGATCTGTATCTTGCAACAAACTCAGAGTATTTGAAATCTGCCATCCAAAGCAATGTTCTCTCCTTGTCCTTGAAATACCTCAAATATAAATCAAATCAAAAGTTCAGAGTCAGAGGAAAGACAGAGAGACATAAAATGTGTTTGTGTATGGGGTTTTTCCCCAGCCTGCCAAGTGTTCTGTGAGCTGCATACCTGAAAGCCATGCTTGCCCCTCCACCATGTGTGTCTTCTTTTGGGGGCATGTCAATCACTGACACAATGTCGCCAACCTGCAGAGAGCGACAGAGGGAGGAAAGAGAGAAGATTAAAGACATGTCTGATTGCCCCTTTACCTCTTGTCCATAGAACATTTCAATGATTACTAAAACTGAAGGCATTATATAGTGAGCGTGTGTTTCACCTCAAAGGACAGTTCGTCTGAGGCCTGGGCGATGTAACGCTTGATGACGTGGGCAGCAGCAATAGCTGGCACATTAATGGATGACTCTTCATGAACCAACAGATGATTTCCCTTATTGTCAACCTGGTACACACACACACACACACACACACACAAACAGTGTACATGTCATTTCAACAGTGGCAGCCATTGACTAACAAATGACGTTGGGAAATGATCCAGAAACATGACAATATAATAGTCTCCATAAAAAGCTATTTTGGTGAAGTGGTGAGGTAAACTCAGCTCATAGCAGCTTATTCAAATACTTTTGTGAAGAAAGAATGAGCAGCTGGGATGGCTAGAAATTGCTGCCAATACATACTACAAGACTGTAGTAATCCTACATCAATTCTATAGAGTATATCTATAGTATTCCTGTGGCTACAGAGACCTGTATTAATCTTTTATAGAAAAGTAGAACACTATAAGGCCCCAGGTCCTTGTCTTAGCATTGTTTTTGTATTTTCCTTATTTGTTGATGCAGTTATTTTTAAGGCATTTCTCTTTGTGTTTGCAACTAAAGCTCCAGCAATTTTGACAGCAACCTCTACCTCTAATTTCCTATTCATAATAGCAGCGGTATAAATTAATTTCCTGAATGACCATTTCATGTGTGGTATAAAGCCATTGAAAGGCATAAAATAATAAATAATAAATGATCTGAAGCAAAGCCTCAACCTTTTGGCAAAAAGGCTCTCTGACCCACTGTAAACATCTGTTTTTTTCTGCCAAAGAGTCAGTGTACTCCTTAAAGACAGATGACAGCCTTACCTCCATCCATGTGAGAGCGGGCCCACAGTTGATCTTGTTGTCAGCGATTGCTGAGAGCCGGAGAGGTAAGCCAACAACATCTGGGAAACTGACTAACATGGAAGAAAACACACCATTTACAATAAATCTTTCCATTTATCCCAGATAGTACAATTTACCACTACGTACTACTGTACAATCCACTACTAACACACTCAATATTAAACTTAGCTGTTACAATGGATGTTAATAATTACAAGTAAAAGTCATCGCCTTCTTTTGTTGTGTTTTTGAGGGACAAAGGCAGCTAATTACGCAGCTAAAGAGTGTTGCATGGTAGTGAAATGACATTTGCAGCTATGACTTCATATGACTGCCCAAAATCTGACCATTTAAGCTAATGATAACACTACAGAGAAGATGGGGTAGGACGCAAGTTTCACCTCTGGTAGGGGAGTTCTTCTGTCGAAACCTGCAATTACGTCACTGTTAACTACTGGGACCTTTTGAATCTCATAAAAACAGCTACTGGTGAAAGTATAATAGTGTGCTGCAGGCAGCTTTGTAAAGCTATACTCTGAAAGCATCCACACACACAA